CAGCCTCTAGCCCAATATCAAACACTACTTTGTAAACACTGATGCTAAACACTGTGACACTGATATGTCAGCTGTGATAATGGTCACCCATGGTGGACAGTGTTTGGTGGAGCTTCCCAATTAAAACAAGCTTGGAAGCAGGAGTGGCATCCACTTCTGAAATGGCTTGCCTCCGGAAACCCTATGAACAGTGCTCAGGTCTTTTGCTCACAGGTTCACTGAGTCCTCTATGACTCGACGGCACTTAACAACAAACCACACCACGCATCTTATGTGATAAAGGGAGTGAAGGAGACATGCCTGTCTTTGTCTAAAGTTGAAAAGAACCACAGTGTTGGCAGGAAGCTGTAGTACAATCCCGAAGGCACACTGAGTCCACCAGCTGCTCCGTGGGAGAAGGATGGGCAGTCTCCTCCTGTGCAATTAACTGCCTCTGAAAACATGGTGGAGGGTCAGCTGTGAGTCGGTTCTGACTCAACAGGACAAACAACAGTGTCACTGCTTGAACAGAATGAGACGTGAAAGATTGCTACTTGAGGTTCTGCTTCTCTGGAGAAGCACCTCAGGGGAGGGAGGATGAGGTGTCCTTCGCCCTGGGTGGATACCTGCTTAGAAATCTACACCTTTTGGCTGTGGACGTGTTACAGTGATTAGGCAACCACCAAGGTCCCTCTGCCCACCAGTGAGCATCTTGTCAGCCTGTGGCTGTTGTATATTGAACTACTTCCCTGTGTCTGAAGGAGACCTGATGGCACAGTGGTTAAAGCACTTAGCCGCTCACCTGGAAGTCGGCTGCTTGAGGTCCCTGCTGCTCTGATGGAGCGATCAGCTTCATGGAGATCACAGCCTTGTAAGCCCTTTGCAGCGGTTCTCCTCTGCCCACCACGCTCATTATAGACAGGAACCAACTCAGTGCCAACGAGATGTCTGGGGGCATGGCGTTTAAAGGACATTGTTAGCTGTGCTCTCAAGACTGTTCCAGCGTATGTGACATTTTGCAATTGAACTTCCCATATAAATAAATGGGCCTTCCTTTATAATGTGGTAAGAAGCTGCTCTGCAGTTCCAAAGGCACGCAGTTCAAATCCACCAGCTGCTCCGTGGGAGAGGAATTGGCAGTCTCCTCGCGTTTGATTAACTGCCTCTGAAAACCCTCTGGAGGGTCAGCTTTGGGTTGGTACCAGCTCCATGGAACTCACAACAACATACAATGCATAGCGTATGAAAATAGTGGAGGACTGCTTTAAAACCATACATTTGTGTGTGTGTGTAAATAATTACACAGCCCTCTCCATTCTCTTAAGACACTGAGACGCGGGGATTCAACAATTTAAGTGATAGGACTTCTGAGATTTTAACCAATATCAGGTTGACATGTGTCCAGATACATAGGAAAATTTGTCCCCAAATATCAGCTTTACCAGTTATTAGCTGTATGGTCATTGAAAAGTCACTTTGCCTTTCTGATTTTTTATCTGCCATACAGTTTTCCTAATAGTTACCTTTTTTGCTGGATTACAATGAAGCCCCTTAAAAATATCTTTGAATCATGCATAATAGTCAGAAGTACAGAATGTCACTCTGTTGTATGTTAGCTGCCACTGTCATTATTCCTGTTGTCCTTGTTATCTGCTCTCTGAAGATGTTCCTGAATGTCAGCAGTTTAGAGAAAAATGGCCAGGGGACAAATGGGATGTCACAGGAAATTTCGCTTCCTGTTTTGAAGGCTTATGTGTTCAAGTTCAATGATAGGTAATCAGAACTGACAGTGTTCTTCCTTTTTTTCATTTCCAAAATACTTTTTATCTCTGTTAGCTCATCTGATGCTACATAAAGCCAGATAATGTCCACATTTGGAAATGGGCATGCTGGTACTGACACGGGTTGTGGGGGGGTCAGTAACTTCCTCCTGGTGACACCCAGGAAGAAGCCGCTTGAGAGTCCGAATCTGATCAACTTTGAGTCCTCGGCCCACTGAACTAGTCAGCCGGATCGAGGGAGGATGGGGGCCTAGAAACCTACCGCCTTCCCTGCAGCGTTCCCTGACCTGTGACCTACCTCATTCATAGCTGAGACTGAGGCTGTCAGGAAGAGGACGGTCCCAGCAGAGCAGTGGTAGGACATTGGCTGGTGCCGTCGGTGGTTCCGAATACATCACTGATGAACCTAAGAGCCAGTTCACCTCCCGGTAGCCTGCTTTCCCCCTGATGAGGTGTCCCCCCCCCCCAAGCCCCTCGAAGACAGAACTAGGCCACAAGTGACTTTGAAAGAAGAGTTGAGCTCAGCTTTTTCCTCCCAGAGTACACAGTAATTTGCCTGAGTAAATCTGTGTTCTTGTCTAAAAAAAAAAGAGAGAACATGAAGTTAAAGAAAACAAAACATTTCTTTTCTTGGAAGATTACTGGATTTTTATTTATAGATAGGTACACACACACAGTTTACTTTCAAAAGTGGAATCACCTTGTAGGTTAAAAATGAGCCTCATTTCAGTAATTTTCTTAATGTGTCTAGTATTTCTAAAGAATTTAATTGTAGGAAAATAGACTACTTTCCCCTTTTTGAAAAAATAGTGCGAATTTCTTCCCCTTCCCCACCTTTGCTGTCTTCTTTCTACTTTTGATAAATGGTTTTCAGTGTTATCACTGTCCCCACAAACTAAAATAGTTGTCTTCCTCCTTAAGATGTATTATGCTGTGTAATATTCTTTGCATATATCTTTCATATTATAATTTCCCGATTCATGCAGTCAAGCTACTCACATTATATGCTCAGCTTACAGAGGAATGGTGAAAGTATACAACCCTTACACACACCGTTCTGGATTTTAAACTATGCAGTATCCCCTTGTTCTGTTCAAATAACCGCTTCTTAGTGTCTGTACATACAAATTCTGAAATTCCCATTCCTCTCAATGCTATCCATAATTTATTTTTGTTGTTACTAAGTGAAATAATACCCCCTTCTGTGACTGGAGCTTTGGTCACCTGTTGGTAAGGAGTGGCCTTGCTAACCTGGAGACACATCGTTCTAACCCACCAGCTGCCCTGTGGGAGAAAGATGGGCAGTCTCCTCCTGTCCAGTTTACAGCCTCTGAGAACCTACTGGGGGGTCAGCTATGAGTCAGTCCTGTCTTGACATCCCACAACAACAACAACAAATCTACTGTATGTGACAGAATGAAGCTTATCCAATGCATTGGTTTTACTGACTTTAAATCCCATGTTTGGATCTCTTACTGGTTATGTCCTTTCTCCATATTGTTTAATCTGTATGCTGAACAAATCATTTTAAGAAGCTGCACTATATGAAGAAGAGTGTGGCACTAGGATTGGAGGAAGGCTCATCAACAACCTACATTATGCAGATGGCACAACCTTACTTGCTGTAAATGAAGGCCTGAAGCATTTTCTGTAAAAGATCAAAGACTCCAGAGTCCCATATGGATTATATCTCAATAGCCAGAAAAAAATTATCTTGACCACTGGGCCAATAGGCAACATCGTGATAGAGATTTACGTTGTCAGTTATTTCATCTCACTAGATTCCACAGTCAACACTTATGGACTGTTTAATTGCGAAAATCTGCTGTCAAGGTTTTCGCCAAACTGCCAAAGAACAACCATGTCAGTTTAAGGTGTGCCTGATCTAAGCCCTGGTCTTTTTAGTCATTTGTTATGCATCTAAATAAGCCCTGGTCTTTCTAATCATTTGTTATGTATCTGAATAAGCTCTGATCTTTTCAATCATTTGTCATGCATCTGAAGGCTGGACAGGGTGATGGAAGAATTGTTGCCCCCCCCCACTCTGCAACCCTCATTCCGTACTCTTAGAATATCATAGTGCCCTAATATATAATACTTTTAAACTATTCTCTCCCCCATAGACTTCAATGCAGTAAACATATTTCATCCAGTTTTTCTCAGTCTTACCTCCACCCTGATGTCAGCCTCATTCTACAACAGTGGCACCATATAGCATCTGTCCCTTTGTGACTGAGATACCTCACTCAGCATACCAATGAGGGAGGGTTTTTTTTGCTTTTCACGGAGAGGAGCAAACAACGGGGGGAGGGGAGGGCAGGGAGAAGGGTGCAACAATGAATGAATGGAATTCCAAAATCTCTGTAGATGTTCATTGAAATGAAAAATAAATAAATTTTTTAAGAAAAGAACTAAATATCCCATGAATTGCCAGAATGTACACAACTGTGTCTTGGAGGAACTGTATCTAGAGTGTCATTCGAGGCAGGGACGGGGAAACTTTGTGTCACATGCTTGGAGCACGCAATCCAGAGAAGCCAGTGCTTGGAAAATGGTATCATGCTGGGAAAGGTGGACGTCAGAGAAAGAGAGGAAGACCTCAACGCGATAGATTGACACAGTGCCTGTAACGATGGGCTTGAGCTTTGGAGAAGGTTGTGAGGATGGTGTAGAGAGGGACGAGGTCCAGGTCTATTCGTGGAGGTGTTAGGAATCACGATCAACTCCAGAGGACCCAACAGCATTGGAGCACAGGGATAATGGGAGAAACGAATGGAAACTAGCGCTGTCCTGCCTTGACTTGTGAGTCGCGTCTCTCCTTTTCGTAGCCATGTAAACTTCCCCGTAGTCCACTGATGAATGTCCTTTACTCTCTCGAAGTCCACTCTGTCACCTCCAGAGGTCATTGTTCCATGATGGACAATATTATGAAGTTACAGTGTTGGGTCTGTCGCTGTGATTTACAGTGTCTCCGTGTTACTTTCTCATGGTGAGGGTGAGGAAGGACTCTTTCCTCGTTACATGAAAGGTCCTGTGAGGTGGAGCTGACTTGACGCCACTTAACAACAGTATGGCACCTACTAGCTAGTGTCCGAGGGTCGCTGGAATTGATTGGTCAGTATAGCTTTTTAAAAATCCCTGTTATGAATGTTTTGTGTACATACATGGATATAGAGAAAAGGTAATCGTGATCCCTTCTTTTTGTGGTGCTGCTGATAAATCTCTTGTTTCTCCTTGTAGTTTCTTTCAAGATGGCTTGAAAACAGCTGATAAACTGAAACAGTACATTGAAAAACTGGCTGCCGATTTATATAATGTAAGTCTCTCTTGTATTATACACATTTTCATTCTTGCCAAATTACATGCTTTTGCATGTACATATTAATGAACTGGAAATTGTTCAACGAGTATTACAGAATAGCCTTTTTAAATGGAATGTTGTGTCAGTAGAAATCTAGGTCAGATAAGCCTATTCTAAGTAAAAGATTAGTGGTCAGCTGTCCTGCAGCAGCCTTTTGGGAAGAGGGAGAGGAGAAAGGAGCACGCGTGACCTTGACTCTGGATGGCGCTCTGTTAGGGTGCAGGAACACCCTGTGTAGGAGCCCCCACAAGCAGTTGCAGAAAGATGGTTGTTCCCAGAGGTAGAGAAAAGTTGGATGCCTGTTTCTGAGTAGGCAGGTCTGTGATTTTACTTTCATTCCTCTCTCTTTTTTTTTTTATTGTTTTCTTCTTGTGTTTCTTTCTTTTCCTGTGTTTGCACATTTTGATTCTGTAGTAGGGAAATTAGAGGTGAACTTTTCCTGTGGGAATATTCGAATGAGTCTATAGAAATGGTAAACTTGTATCCTGTGAACCACATGACATCAAGTAACAGTAAAAGTATATGTACCCAGAGTTCTCTGGCATATGTGCAAATAAAGTTTCAGAATTTTAATAATAATAATTTTTATTACTATTAACACCAATTTGCATTCTTTTTTGGACTTTCTTTTCACTGTTAACATAGTTCAGGTTAAGAGTAAAATCAGAGTGATGGAAATAGCATCCTCAACCCCTTGTCCTCACGTAGTGCTTTGTAAACACATTCCTACGTGCATTAGCCTGTTGGAGACCTGGTCGTTCTTAAGATTCTCCACTGACCCATTTAATCACATCGTGGTGTCCCTCCTCCCACTATCACTCTGAGAAACTAAAAGCAAATGACCTTTCATCTTGACATTGTTTAGTGCTTCAGAATTATTCTTTCACTTTGATGCTTTATTTGATAAGAAAACATGTTACAATATCCAGTGAGTCCAAACCTTGCCAGGACTTCTGTCAGCTGAGAATATTATGCCTCTCATGCATTGTTCTATATATTACGCCTTTCATAAGGAAATCGACACATAATTTATTTGCTTGGTGAATGGTGCCTTTGGGTAAGTTCTACTCTACTTAGAAAAGTATAGACAAAAAATAATAGATATCTCCCCATTCCTCTTCTTCTCCTAGATAAAACAGACCCAAGATGAAGAAAAGAAGCAGCTAACTGCCCTTCGAGACTTAATAAAATCCTCGCTTCAACTTGATCAGAAGGAAGTAGGTGATCTGCATGTTTCCAGCGGAGTAACAGCATTAAGCAGAACTGCACGTGGGACCCTTTGGGTTTTCTGATTGCAGGTGGTTGTGGGATACAGAAGGTGTGAGATACACGCATGAGCTGCCTGTTGTCTAGTACAGGATCTGTGTGCGTCAGCCCCCTTCCCCTCCTCCTCCCCTCCACATCCGTGACTCCTTCCTAGCTTTGGAAGGAGGTGTCCTCCAGCTTGCAGAGGACAGGTTGTAACGTGCACCCCTAATTATCCTCTTCAGAACAGTCTCTCTCTCCCTGGGAAGCTAGAAGAGACATGCCCTTTCTGCCAGGGAGCTCATTTGATGCAGACTGCTATAGAATCTGTTTCCACAGTTAGGAAAATTAAGGTGAGATGGTCCCTGGCTATTTAGCTGAAGTGTGTAGTGTCTGCTAGATGCCACAGCACTGTACGATGAGTCCTTAATTGTAAGTGTTACTTGTTCTTGTGTTTGTTAATTGGGCTGCTAACCAAAGGTTGCTGTTGACCCCACCAGTTGTTCCCCAGGAGAGAGAGGAGAGGGTCTCCTCCAGTTCAGACAGCCTTGGAAGCCTGACAGCGCCGTGGGTGGGCAGTGACTGAGCAGCTGGAGCTTAGGTTTAAGCTCATCTGCTCACCACAAGGTCAGCAATGTGAACCCACCCGCTGTCTGCGGAAGAAGAGGTGTCACTGTGCTGCTTAAGATTGCAGGTGTGCTGCCCTGTGGAGCAGTGCTCCTTGGCGCGCGGGGCCACGAGGGGCAGACCTGACTGACTGGGAGTGGATGTGCTTCTTAGTATGTGCCCAGCACGGCTGTAGATTGTCAGCATGCAAAGTGAGATGAGCTTTCATCAAGGAGCTTGTACACTGCTGGCAGTAGCCTTGGAAACACATTTGTCGTTGTTGTTGTTGTGTGCCTTTGAGTCATGTACGACTCAGAGTGACCTGTGATCTGAACCTTGACCTCTGCTGTGCTGTCCTCATCATCTCTGACAAACTTGAGTCCACTCTAGCAGTCACTATGCCACTCCATCTCGTCGAAGCCTTTTCTCTCTCTTGCCATCCCTCTACCTTCCCAAGCATGACCTCTCCAAGGAACAGCATCTCCTAGCAACACGCCCAGGGTATGTGAGACAAAGCTTCGCCATCTTTGCCTCCGAGGAGCACTCTGGCTGCACTTTCTCCAAGACCCCTGCTTGTTCCTTTGGCAGTCTGTGGGCCTGGGCCCCAGGAGACCCTCCGTGACATGCCTGTCAGCATGGACCTGGACCCCAGGAGGCCCTCTGTGACGTGCCTGTCGGCGTGGGCCTGGGCCCCAGGAGGCCTTCCATGACATGCCTGTCAGCGTGGGCCTGGGCCCCAGGAGGCCTTCCATGACATGCCATGGACCTGGACCCCAGGAGGCCCTCTGTGACGTGCCTGTCAGCGTGGGCCTGGGCCCCAAGAGGCCTTCCATGACGTGCCATGGACCTGGAACCCAGGAGCCCCTCCGTGATGCGTGTGGGAGAGCCCAGCACCTGGCCTTTACCCCCAGGCCTCCCCGTGTGGATGCAGACAACCAGCCTCTTGGTTTTCTGCTGAGGGCATTAAGCGTTCACAGCTTTGTGTTCCTATGAGCACAAAGTAGGGAGACTGCTGCCTAAGGCGAGTCAGATATGATCCTCATTGGTGTGTACTTCACGGCTTCCTGCCTTTGGTTTTAAGAGAGCTCGTGGTACAATGATTAAAGCACTCACCTGTGAGCCAGAAGGTTGGTAGTTCAAACCCACCAGCATCTCTGTGGGAGAAAGATGTGGGAATCCCCTTCATAAAGATTGACAGCCGGGAAGCCCTATGGGTAGTTGGGCTCCGTTCTCCTAGGCCACAGTGGGGCAGCACCAACTCAGCAGTGGTGAGAAACCTTCTCCTGTCACACAGCCTCCCGCCGGCCTGACCACAGACGCCCTCTTGAGAAGGGACTGGCGTGCCTTTTCTTTGCAGAGGCTGCAGGGCTTTGCTCATGCTGGCTGACGAACAGGTTGACATGGACTCGGAACAGCATGCACACGATTTGATTTCCTTTAACTCCACCCCAAATTAATAAATGATGAGTTTTCGTTAGCACCAGGACCGTGATAGCTGAAAGGAGAAGTGACTTTTCCCAGCAAGCCTGTCCCATGCTCATGCTTTTAATCATCTCTCGCTGCAAAATGTGTTCAGACGATAATGATTTTTAACAACTTGGAATAAACGGAAGCTGAACGATGATCCACCGGAGAGTTCTGGCCACAGGGCTGCCGCTCAGGAAGAGTGTGAAGCAATCGGGGAAATGACCTGGGAAAGTAAAGCACCGAGCAGACCACGTAGCCTGCTCCCCACGGGTCCTGACTTGCTTCTCTGAAGGAACCTTCAAGAATTGCAGTTGTGAATAGGATCCCAGGCTGTTTGTAGACACATTCATTCTCTTGTCAAAATCAAATTAAGTCTTTATTGTCTTTTGGCAGATGCTCTGTGAAATTTAATTATCTTAAGCTTTTTTAATGGCCTGACTTCCCGAAAGGACTGTTGCTGCCTAGCTGTGTTTAGGGTTGAAGATGTTTTCTCTCCAATAGAGATAGGCATAAATTGTATTGAATTTGTTGCTGGCGACAGGTAAGTGCCGCCAAGTTGCATGTGACTCTCAGTGACTGTGTGACAGCAGATCTGAACTCTCCTCCCTGCATCACCCTCGTCATCCTCATCTTTTTTTTTTAATCTCTTTTTAAAAACTTAACATTTTTATATTATATAAAGGCGCAAGCAAGTGAATTACAGTTGGATGTATTTAAAGCATTTAGACAAAGCTAGGGAAAACGTGGAGCTCCGCTGGCCTAGTGGTAAGAAGCTGTGCCACAATCCCACAGGCAAGTGGTTTGAATCCACCAGCTGCTCACATGAGGAAGACGGACGGTCTCCAAAAATGTGCTGGAAGGTCACCTAGGAGTTGGTTTCAGCCTGACAACACACAGCAACAGAAGTCAGCAGTTACGGGGAGAAAGAAAGGCTTGAGCCCCTTGCCGCAGTCCCCATACACTAGTCCTTGCTGACCAAGCCCAGCTTTTTATGTGACTCTGTTTGGGGGTCCTCTACAGCCTGTTCTAGTATAGGTTACAAATTGTTTTAAAGCCTATTTTCACCCCTTCACCGTATCTGGTACCCAAAAGCTACTTAGTAAATTATTGTTGTTGTTGGGTGCCATTGAGTTGAAATTGACTTTCAATTAAAACAACTATGAGATATCATCTCACCCCAGTCAAAATAGCAAAATTTAACAGAACAGCAAGCAATAAATGCTGGCAAGCTTGTGGAGAAACTGGAACCCTTATTCACTGTTGATGGGAGTGTAATATGGTGCAACCCCTGTGGAAAGCGGTATGGCGCTTTCTCAAAAAGTTGCAAATAGAGATACCATTTGACTCAGCAATTCCACTACTGGGAATATACCCTAAAGAGACCATAACTGACATCCAAGCAGATATATGCACACCCATGTTTATTGCAGCTTTGTTCACAATAGCAAGGAGTTGGAAACAACCTAAGTGCCCATCAACAAACGAATGGCTAGAGAAGCTGTGGTATATTCGCACAATGGAATACTATGCTGCATTAAAAACAAGGAACTCGTGCAATATTACTCAAAATGGTTGACTCTGGAGAAACCGACTTTTAATTACAGGGGGAAGTGATTGCCCAGTTTTCTCCTGCAGAGCAGCTGGTGAATTTGAACCAGCTTGCCTTTGGGTTCACAGCATGACTCCTTACCATAGGGCCGCCAGAGCTCCCTCAGTAAGCATTTAGGGAGGGGAAATGCAAGGCCCATTACAGTCACACTTTCCTTTAGAAATTTGAAGCCTCTGTAATAGTGGATTAGTTTTAAATTGGATGCCAGAAACATTCATAACCCCATTAAGTCAATGAGTGTGTAATTGTTTGTGGTTTAAAAGGATCTGAGATTTTGCTCTTTAATAATGTATTTTATATGTTAATAAGTTTTCTAATAAGAAAGTAAGGTGATTTGTCTGTACTGCTAATAGAGTGGAAATTGCACTAAGAAATAATAGTATAGATTTCATCTAGACTTCACATTCCTTGACTCTTGTGATGAGATTTCCTAAGGTTTTATTTCAAATTCACTGTTTGAGTTTCCTTTTTGCCTAAATGAATTTTCCATTTGCTTTTCCTTTTTGTATAAGCATGTTGATTTGTTATACTGTCCAAATTTAATTCTCTTTATTGTGTGTTATGTTTTAATTATTATTGGTATTACTGATTCTCTCGGGTCTATTTTCTTAAAGAGAGAAATTCTTTTTTGCTTTATCTGAGTATCCAGCTGAGCAAGATGGATCCTTTCTCAAATCATAATAAATTTGTCTGTCTTAGGCCAGAAAACTCAATAGTAGCTAATTTAGACGAGTTAATCCCAGGCTCCTAAAACACTGCTTCCTTCCAGTTTAAAGAAATCTGTTTCTGAAGTCAAAGCCTAGAGTTCAGCCATTATCTTCACCTCTGTGGTGTGCTTGTCTCTTATAACATAATCTCAGTGTGTGATGTGCAGAGTGCAAAGCTTGTTCAGCCTCCTTGTAAATGCATGTAAGGATTGCTTAATGGTAAGTTTGTAGAATAGAATGTTTTCTTAAATTAGCATCTGAATGTTTTCTTTTTTTAAAAAAAATCATCTCTTTTTAAAAACTTAAAATTTTTATATTAGCAAGTGAGTTACACTTAGATGTATTTTTTTAGAGCGTTTAGACAGACCTAGGAAGGAAGTGGAGCTCTGGTGGCCTAGTGGCAAGAAGCTGCACTGCAGTCCCAGAGGTGCACAGTTCAAATGTACCAGATGCTGTGCTGGAGAAGGAGGAACAATCTCCTCCTGTACCAGTCAGATCTGATTTGACGGTGCACACACACACAAAATAATAAAAATTTTAAAATAAATAAAGAAAGAAAGAATTAACGTCCAAGGAGGTTTCCGTCCTGCTTTTGGAAGCACGGGGCAGCAGTCCTGCACCCGGGTCATCCTTGAGCAGCGGTCATTGGAGCCCACTGGGTTAAAGTGGAGAGACGTGGGAATTTTGTATGTTCCTGCCTCTGACTTTGTTTCATACCTTTAAAAAGTTCACATCTGTTAGTACTGTTGCCATGGGTCCAGTCATGGGGCACTGTAAGGAAGGCTGCGAGTTGAGGAGTTGGTGCTGAGGGCAGGCCCTCAGCGGAGCCTCCTCCCTGTCCCCCCAGAAGGCCTGCGAGGGCCTATGGGGAGTAAGGACTCAGTCAGGAATTCAGGCTATAGCTCCAGCTCAGAGTTGACATCTGGGAGTTTTTCACACAGTTCCTAGTTTCCTGGCCATTCTCCCTGTGTGGTTAAAATCGTCCCATTGGATGTTTGCGTGGCAGGGACAGAAACAATGCTGAGGTTCGGAAAATGGCCGGAATGAACTTTTCTGGTGAAGGGAACAGTTCTGCCAAGAAGAACAAGACAGTCAGGTGATGCCGTGAGCACTCAGCTCAGACACAGGCCCTGGCTGCGGCCCGGTCCACGTCATAGTCCCTCTCAGGAGGCTGCCCTCTAGGAAGGGCTCAGGTTGTGCTCTGGGGAAGAGAGCTCCGTGTGCCGAGTAGCCTTACAGAGGGCCATTGTCCTTGCATTTTCCTCCTGCTGCTGCTACATCGACACGTTCACTGAGCACATACTATGTGGCCCAGACAGGCCCCGATTCAGAAAGAAGCCATTACATTGTCTGTGTGGTGTTTTGCTTCCTGCCACATCACCATTTTTCAGGTCCTGCTTTTTAAACAACCTTTGTTGGCAAATCAGTCCTGATTTCACCCTGACTTTACAGGACACAGTCATAAGTCCCATAGAGTTTCCAGTCCCAGACAAGGACGTCATGCCAGGAGGGGAGAAGGAGAGTCACCGAAAAGAGGGGGACCTTCAGTGACATGGACTGACCTGTGAGGGTAGCGTGGGATCGGGCAGGGTGCAGTTCTGTGGTGCCTGGGGTCACTCACTTGGAGCCAGAGCCAGCTCCTCAGCCCCTCACGACAGCGGCCTTTGTAGCGGCGACTGCCTCACCCTTCTCCAGGGAGCAGCTGGTGGGTTCAAACCACTAATCTCTCGTTGCAACCACGTGCTTTCCCACTATGTCACTGGGGCTGCTCCTGGTGCTTTTCTTAGAGCCCCTTAGTATGAAAAAGACCGGAAGAGTCTTGTCATTCGTGGTGGTTCTTAGAGACATTTCCCTGAGCACACACTTGAGGCTGGTCATCATATCCATGAAATGTGGACCTCGCGTTCCATTCACCTCTTTCTGTTCTCCCGCAACACAATCTGAAATAACCCTGAAAGATTCCCCCATGGAATCAGGATTCCAGAGACAAAATATGTGCGTGCACGTGTGTTACCCGGGGCTACATTTACAGTGATGTTCTCTGTGTATTTTATTAAAATGCTTCAATTGTAGGTGGTGGTAGTTTCCAGTGAAATTAACTGTTTTCAAACGTTCTGCCTTTTTTTCCCCCTCTGTTGCTCTTGCCCTTCCTGATCGAAGTCTAGGAGAGTAAGTCAACACTTTCTGTGAGACTCTTCCTTCCCTCCCTCTGTCTGAAGATGTGTGTTCTCATCCTGCCTGCATTTCAGCCCTGTCCCTTGCTTTTTTGTGTTCCCATCACGTATGGCCAGCTGGTCACACAGCCTCTAAAGTGGTGGTTGTATTCTGTGGCGTGCCCGTGCTGTGTCAGGCTCGTTGTATCTGTGTTCTTGTTTTGTTCTTATCACCTTCTACATCACATCATCCCTTGTCACTTCCCATAGCGTCATCTTTTGTAACAATGTGATTATAAATATTTGTGCCACGAACTGATTACAAAACAAGGGCTTTTTAAATAGAAATGTTTGATACCTCTGGAGGCCATCAGTGTTCCTGGCAGAGTGTGTGTCAAGGGAAAAGGTGTAGTTAAAGTAGAAACACATTGGGGTCTCATGGGCTTTGGGTCCTGCGTCATGTGTGTGTTCCCAGTCCTCGCCGCAGCTTGTGTGCGTGTCTGAGAACCAGCAGGCACCCTCCTCCGGAAACTCGGAGACCTGGGCCTCTGCCTTGCTTAGACAACGTGGCAGCTGTTTACCTGTACACGTTCCTTCACTTTAAATAAAAACAAGAATCCTGTCAATTCCTAAAGTTCTGTGATTCTCCTTGGGCCAGACCCATGAGCAAGTGCAGTGACAGAATCGCGTCTGGGACTTGAGCATTACTGCCGTGTAATTCCTTTAATCCGTTTTCTCTCCAGGATTCCCAGAGCCGGCAAGGCGGGTACAGCATGCATCAGCTGCAGGGCAACAAGGAGTACGGCAGCGAGAAGAAGGGGTACCTGCTGAAGAAGAGTGATGGGTAGGTGTGCGCCCGTCCCGCACCCCGCTGTGTCACTGGCAGGCGTCCTGGATGGTGGAAACCCAGGCACGCTGCTCACCCTCTCAGATACGACAACACCCTTTCAGGTTTCCTAGTGCGCCAACCTCAGACCTTGACCTCGCTGGTTGTCACGAAAGTCAGGTGTAACCGGCTGTCTTTAGAAAAAGCAGCCGTGACACTGTGAACTCTAAATAGCACCTCTCACCTCTAACGTGCATTCAGGAGGACGGGTCCTGAGTCGAGCCAGAAGCTGAAGGCTCACTGGCCTCGGAGTTGTCCACCCCTCTGCCTTTGCCTGGAATGCCCTTGGACTTCACCTTGGACGTCGTCCTTCATTCCTCTGTCCACTTGTCACAGCCCACTTAGCAACAAGCCCGGTTGTTTCTGACTGAAATGTCGCGCCTGTCCACCCTCTCAGTGGCTGCCGTCCTTTCTCCTGAGCTATGTTTGTAGCCCCCTTTTTCGTCTCTCTCATTCCTTCCCCATCCCTGGTTCCTCTCCACACAGCAGTCAGAGTGGGCACACCGTGAGATCCCCTTGTTTAAAATGCCCCAGTGACTTCCCACTGCATTTGGGGTCATGCTCCTCACCTGCCCTTCTCTCCAGCCTCGTATAAGTCCTTCCCTTGTTTAAGCCCACTCTTCGCCTTTCTGCTGCTTGGACAGTGATGGTCCTTCCTGGTATGCTAGTGCTGCCCCTGGGATACACAGGGTGTGTGCTGGCAGAAACCCACATTCCTCGGTCCCTGTCCTCTTGGACTGACTTTCTTCGTGCACTCATCCTACACGTATTTCGAAAACGCACGCTGTGGTAGCTGAGGCAGTCTGCTAAGGCTGGAAGGAATGAGACATGGCCCTCCTGCCCGCCTCGCCCGCCTCCTGTTTGGAAGAGAGAAGGAAAGGAGCCGGGCATCTCCGAGCCGAGAGGCAGCTGGGAGCCGGGTGGTCCAGCCTCCTCAGAGTCACACAGGCAGTGAAGGTGAAGAGCATTGACCAGAACTGCCGTGTTCTCTCAACGTGCAGGGAAAAGTGAGGCATCGCTCTATGAGGAACGCTCGTTTACTAATGACTGTGATGTGTTGGGCCATTTTCTCCAGAGGGTCACTTGCCTTCGTCATGTCCAGCCCTAGTTTTGCACTTCTCCTTATTACTTATTAGAAACAGGTTTTTAAAAATATTATAACATTGTTTTTCCAGAATAATAGTAATACTTTATAGGCCACAGGCATTTATGGAGAGACAAGGAAGCAAAAGGCTTTACATATGTTTTCTGAAAATAGCCCTGGATGGTGGACATCACTGTGTTCAGGATGTACTTGGGCATGGTGAGGTTAGAGAGGTCAAATAGCATGTACAGAGACACACAGCTAGCGAGTGACGTCACTTCTGTGAAGTCAGAGTCATCTAGCATCAAAGCTGGTTCTCGTGATGCTTTGGGGGCATTTTCTAACAGAAAGCGTCTGTTCTAGAGTTCTGAAACTTGACAGGGCTTGACTGCAGCTTCTGTGCAGTGCCTTCTGTGAACACTAGGTGGTGAGAGCATTAGACGTCTCCATTCAGTTGTTAAGCTGCTGCCGAAAAGCTTTCAACACAGGAGAACCCCAGGGAATAAAAGTTACCCAGTTCCTGGCACAGATTGGGCACTGTTGCTCTCAGATCTGCAGAGGGGTATCTTAACATTACTCCTCTTCCCCTGTCAGTTTTGAGAGAACCCCATCAAGTCATCTCCATTTGCCAGAATGTTGACATGTTTGTGTTGATTTACATGGCGTTATTAGCAGTGCAAGAGAATGCGGATCTTCTGGGGTTTTTTTCCCCCTAAATATGAGTGGCATCCACTTCCTAAATAACATGTGTCCAGAAACTCTGTGACCTTTGATAAATGTCCACAGTTGTCACGGGGCTTCAGGCCTTGTGTTCATAGGGTCGCTATGGGTCATGTCCCACTCGAAGGCAGTCAACATGCCTACGCAGGACAGTGAGTTCACACAGGTCAGATGCTGAACAGGGCAGGTTGAATAGCATCCTCGTTGATGGTTTCAAATGAGGTGATGGGGGGAAATGGCCCTGGGTTGGGCCTGGCGTGTGCAGGGATTCCCTGCCCTCTGCTCACAGAAGGTGAGGCTCACTAGCAGTGTGTGGCATTAGCCAAGTGCAGGTGTGATTATTTTAACAGAAATGACCTCTAATCAACGATTTCCCTAGTTGGTACCTCGAGAAGGCAGTGTGTGATTGAGCTGTAATTTGAGGGCAGGTTGTCAAGTAGTCTAAACTACCTTGTAAGGTAACTAGGCTTGGGGCAGTGTGTTCAGTGGTGGCACAAGGTTGGCTTCTCTTTCCTGAGTGTTGAAATAAGTTGTGTTTGGTTTTTTAATTCTGACCTTCAGACTCATCAAATCAGACTGTTCCAAGTGTGTATCATCCTCGGGTACTTCTGAACAGTTTAACGGTGGTTTCCAGCCCTGCGTGAATCACAGACAGCTCTCCTTCTCGGGGCCTCGGAGCCGCTCTGTGGTGTGAGAGGCTCGGAGGGGAGGCTGTGCAGGTGTCCATGGAGCCCCTGCCCTGAGCTACTGAGGCAGTGCAAGCTCAGCCTTCCTTCAGGTAGTACGTGCTTAATTTTTTTTGCCAATTGGCAGCATCAGGGTGGATGATGAAGAGATTGAGAGTGTACACAGCTTTAGTTTGCTTGGCTCCACAGTCAACACTCTTGGCACCAGCAGCCAGGAAATTAAAAGGCGTATTGCCATGGGAAAGTCTGCTGTTAGGGACCTTTCCAGAGTACTGAAGAGCAATGGTGTCTCTCTGGAGACTACGGTGCATCTGATACAGGCCATGGTCTTTGCTGTCACTTGTTATACATCAGAGAGTTGGACAGTGACTAAGGAGGATAGAAGGAGAATTGATGCCTTTGAGCTGTGGTGCTGGAGAAGAGTATTGAGGATACTATGAACTGCTAGGAAAACAAACAGATTCATCCTGGAAAGGGTTAAACCAGGTGGCTCCTTGGAGGCAAGGATTCTGAGGCTCCGTCTAACATACTTTGGACATGTTGCAAGGAGGGACAGGTCCTTGGAGAGGGACGTCATGCTTGAGAGGTTGGAGGGACAGCACAAGAGGGGAAGGCCCTCTATGAGGTGGATTGATTCAGTGACTGGGGTAATCGGGATGGAAGTGTCAGAGACGGTGGGATTGGCACAGGACAGAGCAGAGTTTAGGGCTGTTGTACAGAGGGTCGCTATGAGTCGCAAACGACTCAGTGGCACATAACAACAAATAACATTTTAATTAAACGTTGGTCATCTTGTGTGTTGTTCAGTAGATGACCTTAGCTGACCCTCCTGCATGTTTTTAGAGGCAGTTAATTGCACTGTCCGACCTTTTCCTGCAGAGCGGCTGGTGGATTCAAACCACATGTCTTTGGGATTGCAGTGCAGCTTCTTACCACTAGGCCACCAGAGGAACCTCCTTGTCAAAGCTTCCTAAATGTAGTTAGTAACTCCTCAGTATCACCTTCAATACAAGTGCTGACCCTTCCTTTCAGATCCTTCCTTGGTGATTTCTGTCTGTGTACCCATAAAAAACACGAGGAGCAGTTTGACATGTCTGAACGTTTCTGAGGTGGTTTTTTAATAGTATTAGTAAATATCCTAACAGCAGCTTGTTTTTTTGAGACAATAGTATGCTTTAAAATTTCTATAAGTGCACATACATTTATATAGTACATTCTTTTAAACTCCCACATAGTACACCTCAGCATGAATATCACTGATTCATTGGGTTTTTTTTTCTACTAGATTTCTTTTTATTTCCCATTAGTATCAAAAGCAGAATCAAAGTGAGTATCCTTGCACCTACCTGCTTTTCTGAACTACATTCCAACCAAGAGAATAAAGGCACAGAATGTTTCTGTTGGATTATTGGTTTGCTGTCTTAATTATCAGTCCTGTTATATGGCTGTATGCATTGGGGTAGATCGGATACTACACTGAGCTGTGTTTACCTCTGTCTGTAGGATCCGGAAAGTGTGGCAGAGAAGGAAGTGTGCCGTCAAGAATGGGATTCTGACCATCTCGCACGCCACAGTAAGTATGTCCCTCTGAGTTGGGGAATGTCTGTTACACATCGAGACTAAAAATTCAGCACACTCTGAATTTAGCCAACCTGAAGGTCAGCCCTGAGGTTTTCCCAGGTGGATTTAACTGACAGGTTTCAAGTGTCAAGCAGTGTAAAACATCTCCCCCCAGTCACTTTTTATTTTCCTGCAGTGTCCTGCATCTTTTTCCCCCCAAGCTGAGTCAGATATTCTTTGATTTTTTTTCTTTTTTTTTTAACATTACCTATTGGGAAATGCTTTTGATTGTTGTTGTGAAAAGTCTATAAAGTTTTCTGAATTATAAAGAAGACAAATGTCCTTTCATAACAAAGTAGCATCAAAAATAATAAGAGAATTTATGGAAAAAAATTTAATCAACAATAAAGAGTAAGAAACTGGTAGGTGGTAAGAAACTGTGCTGCAATCCCAGAGGCACACAGTTTGAATCCACCCGCTTCTCCGTAGGCTGGCCCATCTCTTTCCATGAATTTTTACTGAAAACCTGCTGCTGGAAGATCAGCTGTGTATTGATTCTGATGCCATGGCACACATCAACGATAAAGAACACACACAAAACAAATTGTTTTTATTTGCCATTTTAAGCTACGAAAAATTAATTTATTCTTAAAGATACCAAGATTATAATAGAAAATGTACCGAATAGGAATGGAGGTGGCAGATTCTCTGCAGTCGTCAGAGATGTGCATGAAGTTTAAGTGCATAAACCCAGCCCTGAGGCAGGTGTATCTCCTCCTAGTCCCTCCGCTCCTAGAGCTCAAGTTACCATAAGAGTCCACTGCGGGACCATGGACAGGACATTTCCTGCATTATCAGTGTTCTCATTGGTTTCAGCTGAGTTCAGATTGCCCCCTGTGGAAGGAAGGAAGTCCCTCCTACTAAGCCCTTCTTCCTGCTTTACTCACTGTAACATTTATTCCCCTTAATCCTCCTCCATTCCGTGTGGTCGTCTTCTACAGCTGCCTTCTACAGGTGAGGAAACTGAGGCATTAAGGGCCATGACTTGGCTAATAAACGGCAGAGCTAGACAGCAAACTTGAGTCTGTCAGACCCTGGCCCCTGTGCACCTCCTCGTCACCTCCACCTGCAGAGCCCACCTGTGAGCTCTCGGACCCTGGCCTCTGTGCCCCTCCTGGTCACCTCCACCTGCAGAGCCCACCTGTGAGCTCTCGGACCCTGGCCTCTGTGCCCCTCCTGGTCACCGCCGCCTGCAGAGCTCACCTGTGAGCTCCCCATGACCCTTGCTGGTGTTCCCATCCCACCTTGAGCCCTCACACAAACCCTGGGACACCAGACATGCCTAGCGCTCACTGTGCCTACGTCCTCCTGGTGCTTGCCTGCCTGTGTCTCAAAGATCATCGCCCCTGTGAGACTGGAGCAGTTACACCATCTCCAGCCTGACTCCTGCAGAACTCCACGGGGGTTCAGCTTCCACTTGAGATTTTCAACATCTTGCCAGTTGTGGCCAGCCATCCTCCAGATAACATGCTGTCAGGCTTGTTAGTAATTATCGCTGAGGCTGTCTCACAATTGCTTCCTTGCTTAGGAAGGCTTTTATTGAGCTGTTACTTAGCCGGTGATAGGCTGATCATCATTCCATCTGACGTCACAGACCTCCTAGAATACAGAGGTGCTTTTCCTTTGCCTGCCACCATGACTGTTTCCTGTATCCTTAGAAACTGCCCTTCTGATCTTCTCTCAGTTTCTGTGACCCTGTTACATGTCTGGCAATGTCTGCTTGTACTTGGTCTTTGGGTTCGCAGTAGTGTGGCCTGCTGAGTAGTCAGTCAGCAGACACCAAAAACATGAGAACCCCGAGGGAGATGTATCCTCGAATCCTGACCAGAGTGCAGAACGCTTTACGTCAGGTATTTCTACAAAGCACAGTCTTTATCTGGCTGGTGCATTTCTGGTTGGATTTGCTCTGCACACCCTAATTCTCTTTCCTTCCTTCTGGAGAGCGCTTCCCTTAGATTGCCCTGCCTATGACATGGTCATGAGGCTTTTTTGGAACTTATATAACCATCTTCTGGTCTATTTCCTTTTCTGTAATAATAGTCTTCGTGGTCTATTTCCCTTAAGAATCTGCTGTGGAAAGCGGATAGTGATGAGAGAGTGCAGAGTCGATGGGCTGAGACAGATAGACCTGGGTGCGGATATCACCAGCACTACTTATGAGTTCTGTGACCTTGAGCAGTTCACTTCTAAAACATTCTCTGTCATCGTCCCTTTGCTTCCCACTGAAACACATCTGTTATGACCAAGCCAAATGTTTCTATGTCTTCTTAAGGCCCTAATTAACCACAAATGATCACCTTGACCTCATGGGCTGGTGGCTGCCCAGCTCCTCAGAGCTGAGGAGTAGATGAGTCGGCACGTGTGTAGACCCTCAGCTGTTGGGCTTTCTTGCCTCTTAGCATTTCCTGTTGCTGAGGTTCCTGTAGCCCACTGGCAGGCAGCGTCCCCCGCCGCAGATCACAGCTTGTTGGTGCCTCCGCAGCCCACAGGAAGGAGCATCCTTTCCAGTGAGTTCCATTGCTCTGTTGGACGCCCTTGCTGGGCTTCATTATGGGAGCACAAACCTGAGTCAGACTTTTTTTCTGCTGCTGTTGCATCACTTACCATCACGTTCCTGTTCCCAAAGGTACAGGTCTCTGTAGCCAGTTGTAGCTGACTTTTCCTGATTTTGCAGACCCCATCACTTACTGAGATTGGATCGGAAATCAAGGCCAGCCATTACTGGGGCAACTGTTATGATAATAGCATTTGTTATACAGAGGTAACTCATGGTTACTGTGAAGCTAAACCCTGTGACACTGATGGGTCAAATGTGAGAATGGTCACCCATGGTGGACAGTGTTTGGTGGAGCTCCCCAATTAAAACAAGTTTGGAAGCAGGAGTGGCATCCACTTAGAAATGGCTTGCCTCCAGAAACTCTATGGAGAAACAATGAAAGTTATACAGGTCTTTCATTCATAGGGTCTCTGAGTCACCTACGACTCAACGCCACTTAACAACAACAGGGTCGCTATGAGTTGTACTCAACAGCATAGAACAACAACAAGCAACAACTCTCGGGAGGTTAGTGCATAGTCACTAGAAAGTTGTGCTGGTTGAGCCTCCCCGATGGTCCCAGTCAACCAGCAGCTCGCTGGAGAAGGAAGTCCGTGCACTTACAGTCTTGGAAATCCAGTGCAGGGTCAGCCATGAGTCAGTTCCAGATCAGTTGCTGTGAAAGGAGAGAAGCATAGGTGCTGATAAGGATTAAAGTAGTTCATTGATGATAAACTATAGAGTAGGATATGGGGCATAATTAGGTCAGTTGTTATCTGCTGTTCTTCCAAATGGGTTGCTGCCTGTTTTAAACAGTGATTGCTTGGAATTCCTCAGCACAGCTAGTTCTTCACCCCTGAAAGTACTGAACAAAGCATGTTTTGAATACCTGTGATAAAAACTTAATTTCACAGACACTTAATTCCTGCCTGAAGGATTTACAGCTGCCATGTTCCCTTCCATGATGTTTCACTGGAGCAAGAATTCTGGACTTTCTCCACGGACTTGATTTTCAGCTTTGTCCATATCCTTGCTGAGAACATTCTGCTTTGAGGGCTGTAAATGATGCAAAAAAGTACACTCAGGAAACTAAGACCCAAACCCACTTCTGTCAAGTCTGTTACGACTCATAGCATCTCCTCAGGACCTAGTAGAAGGGCCTGAGACAGTAAATTCTTATCCCATGGAGCACATACTGGATTTGAACCAGGGACCTTTTTGCTTAGCACTTGAGCATGTTAAATCTGCCATCATGTTAACCCCTGCGCTTGACTAGAAAACCCAAAGAGACGTACAAATTAGAGGATCTGTTCTTTGCAATGTTTTTCATTACCTCGGTCCTGTGAGATTCCTTTATGGAATTCTGGGGTTATTCTGAACTCCCGTTTCATGTCTTTGTCCCCTAAAAGGTTAGAAAGAAGCACTGAGTTTTGAAAGAGCAAACTTTAGAACAAGCTCGACCCAGCCTCAGATTTCTAGATAAGTATGTTAAGTCCGTGGAGCCTCAGTTTGCTCAGATGTAAAATGGGATATTTTGCTGCTTTTGGTGTTTGCATTGATTCCTTTCTGAGGCAAACAGTGGGCTAGTTACTTCAGAAGCAGGGGTGACCCGTGGCTCTTGCTCACCTGGAGCTTGGAGTAAACAAAGGATTCTTGCTATGAAAGAAGCTGTGATAGGAAGTGAGTGAGCACCTCCTTTTCTGTGGCCAGGAGAGGCTTTGCCATGTGTATGTCCGTAAAGGGGAGTGAGGAGAGGAGGTCCAGGCTGCTGAGAGAGGCCGGTGTGGGAGGAGTGATTCGGCTTTTCTTGCCCTGGTGAAGAATTGTCTGGACACTTCTGTAAGACACTGCTTAGAAAGGTATTGCTGTTCATGAGTTTAAAAGGGAGAAGGGCATGCATACTTCAGGTGTGAGCTTAAAAAAAAAATTACTTGGTACTTGGTGTAACTGAGATTCCAAATAAAGCAATTTTAACGATGACCTGAGCCAGTATTAGTTTTCTCTCTACTTGAATTTCTTCCTTTCTCGTTCAAGGAATACGTCTCTTTTCTTTCTCTTTCATCAGCTCCAGGTGTTGCTATTTTTCCTTCTCCTTATCAGCCAGGTCTTCACCCTCCTGTCCTTTGTGACATGGAACCTTTAAAAAGAAAAGCAGAAGAGCAGAGTTGAATTTCATAAATCATGTTAAAATGCAGGTTCAGTTCCAAAGATACTGGTAGTAAATCTCAATCATGTTAGTGGGCAGAAGAAATGCAACATGACTAAACCAGTACTTTCCCCGACCTAGAAAATAAATAGGATTTTCCCAAAATTGAAGTCACAGTATCCCTGGTACTTCAGCCATGTCTTAAGTGCAGAACTAAATATATTAACATTCATCCAAGGGCTTCCTAATATATAAACCAGATATAGAAATC